AAGCCAATCATCCAGAAACCATTAACGGTGAGATGTTTTTGTGGCGCCCTCATACGATTCCCTCTCGTGACGTCATTACCCTGTGAACAAGTTCGATGGTCTTTCTAATGATCAGTGTGGAAGCTTGACATCATTGCGCTCTGCAACCAACAGATACGTGACACATCCGAAGTTTGCAAAACGCGGTGCAACGAACGCACTAAACATCCCAGCTCTCTGGGGACAAGGAGAGGCACGCAGTTTGGCATCATGCATTCTGATCTCTAACCCAACAGTGGGAGATTGTCTACAACCCAGAGAGTGGACCCGGCCCTGAGCGCCAAGGTCACGGGACGCGTTTGAGATAACTCGCGCACCACCGGGCAATCTCGTCGAGTATGAGGAGTATTCACTGGGCGCCATATTTGTGGGTGATGTCTAGAGCGCATGCTCTGAACGAGCCCACAATAATAGGCTGCAAAGACTGGCAATCTTGAGGGTGCGGAATGCACGTTACAAAAGGACTGTGGAAGCTCGCCATCAGCACGCGCTCAGCAGTCGCGCACACAGCTATGGCCGCCAGTGAATACTTACTATAGGCACTCAGTTCTGTCAAGACAGACATGTATTTTTGCGGTGACTCTCTTTTGGAATGAGGCAACACTTGTCGGTCATTTCTTTTTTCACATACCTTTGATCTAGAATCTATCGCGACGACCTAGGTGGCTTCAAGTGAGAAACTTTTGGGGAATAGTGTAAAACAAAACAGCCTATATGATTCATGGTAATAAAACTCGAGACTCAGGAACACAGAAGGGGAGGAACACAACACAACTTCTGTGTTCCTGAGTCTCGGGTTTTATTACCATGAATCATCACCAGCTCGCTTGTTCTTTAAGTATTATTTCAGCCTATGATTACTCAATAACTAGCAAAAAAAATATTATGTATGATGCAATTTTTACTATTATTATGAGCGGGAAAACCTGTGGTTATGGGCCTTTATGGACGGCGCCACGCATGCTTTGTCTTTGTCTTTATTTATTTGGCTCTGAAGAGCCGCGGCACCGCGGAAAGGCCCGTACATTGGAGGCCCGCGGTGCCGCGTCTACTGATCATGATTAGTATTGGGCAGGATGGTAGAAGTCCAGATTTCGTGGAGGCGGGTTGAACGGGTCAGTAGCGAGCCATGGGGATCTGACACACCGTCCGATCGATGCATGAAGGAGCCCCAGGAACATGATGGCGCTGTTGCTCACTGGGGTCCACTGGGATCGAAGCATCAGGCTCCAAGGAGGTAGCCCAGTCAGAGTAGAAGCTGCCGCCTCTCAGGAAGCGAGGCTCAGGGCTCAGGTTGAGGCACCGCCGTCGCCCGGTGTGTCATCCTCTCAAGGACGTCGTTGTCGTCCTTGGAACTGAGATCGGTCTATTGCGCGCACACGCACTATGCATTCCGGAAAAAGGTAATTACAATAACGTATTTCGCTAAAAAAAAATAAAAAACACCACTTGTTTTTTTTTTTTTTAAGTTTGGTCGAGAAATGTATTTTCAGTTCAAACTGAGTACATGACAGTCTCTGGTTGCACAAGCGTTAGACAAAAATTACTAACCCCGTGCAAATTTTCCAGTTAGCTCCTGTATTATATTACAAAGTGGCATGTGTGTGTGTGCGTGTGTGTGTGCATGTGTGTGTGTGTATGCGTGTGTGCGTGCGTGTGCGTGCGTGCGTGCGTGTGCGTGCGTGCGTGTGTGTGTGCGTGTGTGCGTGCGTGTGCGAGCGTGCGTGTGGGTGCGTGTTAGTGATAAAGTAAAAAGTTAAACAGTGACAACTTACAGACGGCATGGGCAGCCGCTGAGTTCGATTCCAAGTCAAGAGGTCCACCTATGTTTCACCTTATGTTGTACCGCAGCTCATAGCGTTGGCAGCTGCCCCCGAGATCTGCCCTAGAGCAAGGAGCTCGCGCTTGTAGCCTTTCGTGCGGTACATCATAAGGTGAAATAGAGTATTGACGACGTGAGCGATCGAAAGCGTCGCTGTAGTCGGCCTTTCACGATTAGCCGGGTACTGTCTATGACGTCAGTAAAGGTTTTACCATCGATGGAAATAAGAGGAATGTAAGAACTTCAATCTTGACGGTTTTGGCAGTGTTGCTTTGAGAGCGGTATGACTTCAGGCCTCCACCATGCCCATTACAAACACCGTCGAACTTGTTGTTCACAAGGTAATGACGTCACGAAAGGTGACCAAACGAAAGCGCCACCGAAACATCTCGCCGCTATATCAAAAGATCGAATATTGAATCGTTCAAATTTTTTTCCCCACCGAAACAGCGGCTCGCATTAACTTCTCCCATAAAATGTTTTTGTTGTTGTTGTTGCACAGTTTGGAGTTTGATTACGTGTTTTGAGGTACGATCCTCTACAGGGGTGTCTCGCCCCGGTACGGGAAAGAAATTGTGTATTGGTTCTGGGATTGGTTGGTATAAGACTATATAAGGCGATGATGAGCATCAGCTCAACCCTTGAAACTCAACAAAACTGGATGTAACGAGTAAACCTGTAACAGTTGACGAACAAGTTTCAGGAATGGGGTCCGTAGACGAGGAAAATATACGCATTCGGTGACATTGATATCATGGCAGAAAACTTCACAGCTCCGCGGACCCGGCAGCGTTAAATTTTACCACTACTGCGAACCGTACCGTGGGCTGTGAGTTCGAGTTCACAGATTTGTTTGCTGCTTTCACTGCACGTGTTATGAGGCAAGATCAGCCCCTCTTATGTTCGTGATCTTGCTCTCGCAGACTTCGTTGCTCCAGAGTAGAGCCGTCACGTGCTGGCTCCTGACAAATCTGGCACCAAATTAAGAAACCAAACATGAAAAACCTTAGCGATGAAGCGGCGTTTTTTTTTTTTTTTTTTTTTATTTCATTAGAGATAAAAAATTTAAAATCAAGCAATTATAGATCACCCAATAAAATAATGGCAACACCAATAAAAATCTACACTATAAACCTCAGGCGCCCTGTGAGCTGTGACGAGTGCCCGCTGCACAGAGCGCAGACGGCTAGAAGAACCTGGCGAGCATTCTTCGCAGGCCAGCAGTTCGTCGCCCAAGAAAAGCAAAGCATCTATATATACAAAATCTATATATACAAAATTAAAAAAAAAAAAATTTTTTTTTAATAAACTATGCATCACCGAACTCTCATTATCCGGCCAAATCGCTAACGGTCCGAACCGGATTGCAAACATTTCCTGAGAACTAACCGTTATCTCATTTAAAAGTTGTGTCATTATCTGAAATTTTCAACGGGAAATTGGCGGGCGGCCAACGGAGCTCTCGATTACGTAATGCTGAATGGCCCAAGTTACAGAAAACGCACGAAAACACGCGCCATATACTCCCATTCCAAATTGCCAGAAAATCAGTTATAACCTGTTAACAAAATAACGGTACGTTCTGGACCTTTGGCATCTGCTTCGTATCGCTAGCGCTACATTTGGGAGAGTAATGAACGTTCGGCAATGCGTAGTTTCTGTTTGTGGTAAAAACAACCCTGTAAATAGTTTTTTTTTTTTTTTTTTTTTGGGGGGGGGGGGAGGAGGGGAGGGGCACGCCGTACATTTTTCTCGTCCACACGAGCGCAGCAATCTTGAATGTTGTCACTTCTGTGATGCGCCAAAAACATCGTTTTGATCTCTCCACGCCGCCGGAAGATGTGGAGATATCCACGTGATCACGTGTCGGAAAACGAGAGGAAACGAAAAAAAAAACAAAAAAAAAACGTATATAGCGGGCGCCAGGCCTTCATCGACGCCTCAAGGTCGGCGTAAATACGCGCGTATTCGGCGATCCGACCGAGACAGATCTCGGCGCTCCGGCGTATTTCAGCGTGGCCTATCTGGAAGCGTACGGCGCGGTGCCGGCCAATCAGCTCCTGTGGTGACAGCCGGAAGTGGCACGAGGGTTGGGGGATCGGTGGCCGAGTGGGCTAAAGCTCGCACCCAGCTCGACGCGCGTGCAGCGAAAGCTCGCGCTGCAGAACCCAGGGATCCTGGGTTCGAGCCCCACCCCTGCCCGTTTCGATCTGGATGAGCATCGTACCGGCGTGCGGTCGTGCATCACTACTGCGTGGTGCACGTTAAAGACCCCAGGCTAGCGGTTGTACTGCACTGGCTAAATTGCTCATCCAGAGCGTGTGACTCGTCGCAACTTTAATGGCTGACCAACTACACGCTGTATAAATATAACCATAACCCAATTTTTTGGGGGTTGCCTATATTTTGCGGCCTGCTGGCTGGCTTGATTCAGCCGCCAAAATGGGCGCTCGCTTGCCGCGTTCGCCGGTTTATCGGCGTACTGTGAACGAGCGATGAAGGATTGAAAGAGAAGAAGAGACCGTCTACGTGGTGGGTGATATATAATATATATATATATATATGTGTATCTGAGGAAGGGTTTGGGTTTTGAGCAGAGATCGCGGCCGTCCTGCTGCCAGCACCTGTTGGCAACGTGGCGATTGCAAGGCATAATTTTGAGGCAAGCCCTAGCAAATTAAGCTTTCGTTGCTGATTAACATTCAGTCGTGGAGGGGCTGCGAGTCGTGTTGCAATGTTCCGGCGTAATCCGCGCTTAATTGTGCGGCGACTGTTAGTCGTGGCGGGATGTTGACGGTTGCAGGAGGACCGGCTAGTCGTAATGCACGTCTCTTCGTGCCACGAACGCCCGACGTGCCGCGATGGCCCGCCTAGCGGTACGCTTAGTCGTTCCGAGTCATTCCGTCGTAATGTGATTATTCGTTCTATTGCCCACTTAGACGTGATGCGATTATCCGTCGTAGTGGCAGTGAATCCTTTGACCGCCACAAGAAAATTCCCAGGCGTCTAAAACGAAGGAATGATATATGAGTCAATTTCCGGCAAATACAAGATAAACAAGGGGAAAAAGAGATATAATGAAGAGCAAAGTTTTCCGGCCAAGAATTGCCGCTTATCTTCACTGAAGCGAGGCAGCCGCGATAAACAAAGGGCGGCCAGTTGATAAGGAAGGCAACAGCCCGTGTCTCAATGTCCCGGTTTGCAGATTTCACGGCATTGTGCGTATACGTTGACGCGAGCCTGGCGCTCGCGTGCGTGCGTGTGGTTGTGTTTGTGTGCTTCCGCACGCGGTGTGCGTAGTACGTTTGTTGATGGTGGTGCTAAGAACGAAGAATCTCAGTATTTCTACGCATAGACACACCCGGACTACCAAAAAAGGCCAAGACCGCAGCCATTGACGAGGAAGATACTCAGAAAAGGAGTCACCGGTCCACAACGTTGCCAAGAGAGACACGATCAAGAAGCAAGTTATGAAGATTGGATTTCCAGAAGTGATCACTGTACGCACGTTGTAAAATTTCAATGGTACCGCATTTGTTGCGGAGACGTTGTAACATTGTAGTAGCGTTGTAGCGGACTGCAGCCTGCCGTCTCGGGTCCTCGAATACAGCTAAGTATATACTAGAAGGTGAGTGTGAAACTTAAATATATATAGGATTACTTGTAACGACGATGAATCCAGGCAGAAAATTTCCATAAAGTCAAACGGAAACAAAGGAGGGTTGAGAACGGTAAAATGAAATGGCGGGTTGCTAAGACCCTGTAGAAAGAGCTACACGTGAGCTTTAGAAAACTAAATTCAGAATAATAATGTAAATATAAGAGATGCTGCAAGTATGCTATGCTATCAGAAAGCGTCGTAAAATCTTAAGGCAGCCGCGTGAGCCTTGATAAATGAGAGAAATACTTAGTGAAACAAAATATATGACCTGCCGGGACACACACTTTGCGCACGTTGTATTGTAGAGCGACACTGCAAGCAAAGGACCGGGCGCCGATTATTTTTTTTTTTCTTAAAGTCTAATGGTTGTCATCAAAACCTTCAGTACGTCTTAAAGCGGTCCTTTCGGGCTCTAAACTAGTAGGTCAAATTTGACGCCCACCGGTGCCCTAAATTGCAAGACAGCAGCGTCGATGTTGCGTTCGCATATGCTGTGTCGCGCAGTGTATGCTTACCAAGTGCATGCGAAGATCGGCAATCAATCGCTCTTATCGTATCTGCAAAATATAACAATACGCCGGCTACAATTCTAGATGCATAAACCCCAAAGATACTACACGCGACTTTACGTGCTGCCATACAGGTAGGCGCAGTCTAAAAAGAATGCGAGAAAGAAACATAAAAAAAAAAAGGTAGGAATACGTCAGTGCGGTTTCCTGTAATCTCTCCGACACGATATTCCGCAGAAAGCGGTAGCGTTCGCTACAAGGGCCGCGGTTTCTTTCTTTTTTTGCTCTCTCAAGCGTTGCGCCGTCCACTGTGGTGCGGACGAGACATCCCGTACGCGCAAGGTCGAGCTCCCCACTCCCCCGTCTCAGATCGAAGAAGGTCGGCAGCGGGTCGCGTCAGCGACGGGCCTCGTCCATCAAGAGCTCGCCGCGTCTGAAAGCCGCAGGAGAAGCCAAGCTACGCCGCAGCGACGTTGCTCCACGGCTATGTTGCTGCCTCGTCATCCCCGCAGCAAATTGAACAAGGGCGCCGCGTCTGTGCCACGCAAGATTCCTATCCTTCCAGGAGCTACAAACACCGAGAGTGCTAAACCGTAAGTGCTCGTTCAGAACAGTTTCATCGACAGCGTTGTCGCGTTCAGCAAAAAGATGGCCAGCATGGAAGGAACAACGCGCGCAGTGAGGGCGGTTCAAACGTCCCGCCTGTCCCGTCAAAACTACTGTCAGGCTCACTGCGTACTGAATAGGGTTCGCGCAGTGTCAGCGTACCGTCCGTAGAGCGGTTTCGCGCTCCTTCGTTGCATCTAGAACGTTTCTTCGCAAATTCCGAAATGTGAGCCGGGAAACCACCAGTCACCTAATCATGCTCGGGGAGAGCGATCGCAGAGGTCACCCAGCGGCTTGCCGTCACAGCCGCATTGAACCAAAAGTGTTCCTGGATCCTGTCGGCGCAACGGTTTCTTCGTCACTGTTGCAGTTACGACCACCACCAGCGCAACAACACAGGCCGTATCGTCGATGTAGCCTCCAGGAACCGCGCCACGCGGTGGCCTTCAGCAGTTGCTCGCTACGCTTCGGACGCCCCGACCTTCCCGCCCTAGACACCGATGGTGAGAGAATCGTCCTCCTGGACGCGCGGCGACGGCGCGAGAGCGTCGCCATGTGCGATGGCCTCCGGTCGACCGAACAATCTGTTGGCCGCTACACCGGGGAAGACATCGCTGCTCTTATCGGCGGCGGCAGCCAAGTCAGCGTCGCCGTTCTCCGAGCTCCTTCCAACGATCTGACGAGCAGCGAGCAGCTAGTCATCGATTACCTCATGGCTGATGTCGCCGCCGCCGCCGAACGGGAGCGCGTGGGCAATACTCCGGATGGCCTGTCTTCTGTGGCTGAAGAAACCAGGGCCAGTCGGCAGAGCGTCGCGGTGGGAGCGGATGACAAGATCGATGATGTCCGCGTTCCGAAGATGGGTGCAAGTGCGCTGTGGACCCCGTCGACCTTCACATTCGTGCTGCTCTTGGCGGTGCTGACGTGCGACGTCCTCCTGGCGGTCCAGTACTACCAGGAGCGGACGCTGCTGTGTCTGACCACGCTGGTCATTATGCACGCGCCTTCGGTGATTTTCTTCGTCGCGAGGGTGCACTTCATTGTGGCGCAGTCGACGGTGTCCGAAAAGTTTATGCGGGGACTTGTGATCGTGTGGTACGTGGTTACCTTCCCGTTGCTGCATTTTCTGCCCCTGCTCACGTGAGTACGTTGGCGGCTTCATCACCCTGGGCTTCTTCGCGGGGTTTGGCGGTTTTTGGAGGGGCGGGCTGAGAAGGGTGAGTAAGGAGGTAGACCTCCATGTCGCTTATCAATATAATGACGATATTATATGTGTTAAATTGATGAGAGCTACAGTCTGTGTTATGATGGGTGCAAACGGAAACACTTTCATCCATATCCTTGGAACAAACGGCGGTGTGAGAAGACTCGACGGGCCCTGATTTAGAAAACGAGTGTAGGAAAAAATTAATGGTGCCTATTACTCTGCGCGTCATTTTGCGTGCATGGATAGGAATATTTCTGGAGTGCACGAAAAACATTGTATTGGTTGCAACGATGCGGGAACAACGACGTCGAATAGGAAAGCGTTTCACATTGTACGTTATCCGATAAAACCTGCCGAGATATTGTGCATCTAAAGCAAGCGCCTTGAAAGGGTGACTCAAGAGGTTAAAGTGACTGTAAAGAATACAGAAGGAGCGCAACGCGCTTTCTTTTTTTTCTTGTTCCTTTTTCCAACACGATCCCGTGATTAAATAAAAATAACTTTAATGATTGTCTGAGCATTTATTCTATTGATAGTACTTGTTTGTATTTTTTCTACTTACTTCAAAACGCAGTTTCATCTAAAAATAGACCCCAGCACCCCAAAACTGGTTCTCGAAGTGCTCGTTTTTTCCTCCTTTGGTTTGTTGGAATTCTAATTATTTCCATGAGCACCTTGCACAATCTGCTAAATGAATTAAAGAAATATTCTACACCGAATGCGTAGAATATTAGGGCGTATTAACATCGCGACACAATCTACGCTGACGCTGCGTCGGGTTACGATCGGCCAGACGAGACCGTGATGCAAAGTTGGTGAACATGAGACCTATGATAACCATTCCGCTGAAATTTGCAACTGTGGCTGCTCGGGTGTCCATAAATATCGCTGCGTCATTTTTTTTTTTTTTTCAGCTCATTTTGGACTGATGACAAACATGTTTCTGAAGATACCGGAAAGAAATGAACTGCTTCGGTGCCTTTAAACAAATAAAGCACAAGCGACAACAAGAATGCGAACGCTCGATTTGGTTTGAAGCCACGCCGCTTCGGTGCCCATAACAATCGCTGGGTCGGCTTCACAGTGCAACATGCCTGTAGTACTCGGAAGCAGGGCTTCGACAGCACCGCACTGAAGGGGCTTCACACCCAGAGGCGCGCTTCTTTTTTTTTTTTTTTTTACTTTCAGTGGCTCCCCTAATATTTGCGAAGGAAGACAACACGACACGTGGTGTTCCGTATTTTAGTTGCAATTCCAGCGGTTTTGTTAGAGCCCACGCGGTTGTTGCCATAGAAACCCTCGCCCTCGGTTAGACTCAACGCAAGTGTTCGAATTGCACTCTAGACATTGGCAGCACTCGATGGAGCTTTTCATGGGACATTGGCGTCACATGACATGACGTAACGGTGTCACGTGACCCGACATCGTATGACGCCAGGTCACGTGACATATATCTTCTCGTTAAATTTAGCGGGAAAATTATTATGGCGTCACGTGACGTCACGGTGTTACGTGACACCGTCACAATTGATTGAATTATGTCACGTAACCTAACGTCATGTCACGTGATATCGAATTCCCCCGCGTTGACGTTAGCAGACGACATTCGGAAAGTTTCGCCGGCTGCTGCTGACTGCATAGGCTACGTTCGCGAGAGCCTTTATTCAGAAGATGCTTAGTCGCCACGCTGACGGTGACCATAACGGACAGACTTTATTGCATGAAAGGAGACGGCGATATGGCGAGATCAGGTGCGTGATGGGGCTCCTTCGCCGTGCTTTTTAGTGGGCGGAACGCGAACAAAAAGAGTTCGAAGTAAGGACTACACGTGAGTGGCTGACTGTCTCCAGCGCCCAATAGTTTACGACTAGTTTACTACGAAAAGCACGTTTTCTTGACTTTCCGGCGGTCGGTTTTCATTTTTTTCTTTTTTCCCTTTGAGTATGGGGCTAAAGTATCAAACTGTAGAAATAACTTTCAACAGGTCCAGTCCCTGTTATGCTTTGCAATGTTGACAAAAATCGTCTCTTAGTCATCCATTTCTTGTTGTCTCTTGTTGTTGCTTTTGTAGCGCCGTAGTCTACTAGCTTAACTTTCCACTAGCTGTGTAAGCTCTTTTTCTTTGAATGAATGCGTTGTTTCGGTTGGCTCGAGTACAAAAAAGTCAAATTCGCTGTTGAAAAATTTAGACAATTGATAGATTGCCTTCAGAAGGCGTCTGATGTCTTCGCTGCACAGGCGTAACCATGCTTATCGAAACCTGTGGAGACGCCCTTCAATACAGGTACCCTCTCATCTTTCGGAAAGATGCATACTATATCCCGGACAAATGAGCGCGAACAGCCCACCACGCTGCTTTGACGTTGTTTCCCGTCTTGGAAGGAGCTCGGGTCCAAACTAGAACTGGAAGTCTCTGAACGCTTTAAGAAGCCGGGATATAAAGAAGCGTATGGAGCGTATGGCAAACATTCAGCTGCATTGTCGCGCCTTGTGTAAAGTACAGTGAGCGAGGCGAACCCGTTGAAACCCTTCGTCCTCCAACACTCGGCCCCTGCTGCAGGCTGTCCTCGTCGCTGTTCGATAAGACCCTGATGATCGTGGGCGACCCGTCGGACATGCGGCCCTTCATCGTGCGCCAGGAGGAGGTGGCCTTCGAGGACCTGGTCTGGGTGGCCGTGGTCCACTGCTTCCCGCAGGCCGTGCTCCAGCTCTACCTGCTCCTCTTTGAGACCAGCCCGCAACGAGTCGTCCACGACTACGCGGGTGAGGCTCTCTCACTTGTAGTCGGTGACAGGTTAAGAGTAGAGTGGAAGCTCCTCCCACCTCTTTCCACTTTAGCAGAGCGAACGCTGGAGAGGAGGCGACCTCCTCTACAGCGTTCGTTCTGCTAAAGTGGAGGGAGGGGGAGGAGCTTGCACTTTACTATTAACCTGTCACCGACTAAAACCCAGTCTGGTGACAAGTAACGTTCAGAAATTAATCGACTAACCTTTCGATTAATGCTTTAATCGCGGTTAATTTTCTTAACCGGTTAATCAGTTGGGTTAGCCGATTAACCAGAAAGACAATTTGAGGAGGATGTAAAATAATCTTCTTTACTGATTGGCGCGCATTTATCTATTTTAGGAGGAAGTACTCTTCTATTTCAAAGTAAATTACTTTGGCATTCCCTATGATTGCCACCCAGAGTTATTATAAAGCGAAAAAAATTGTAAAAATATTTTAGTTTAAGAACTGCTTTCGTTTTTGTTTTGTTTTTGTGTTTTTTTTTTTTTTGGGGGGGGGGGGGGGCAGCAATACGGCGTCAAGTTTCGAATAAGGCTGTACGTTGTACTGGTGATGACATAAGAAATATCAAAAACAAAATGTGTAGCTTGGCACTTTTTTTTTAATATCTGACGCCTTAAAGTGAACGTTTAATGTTTAATCCACGCCAAGTCCTAGTTACAAGTTGTCAGACCGTCTCCATGGCTTAGAGCAGGATTGTCAAAACGTTCTGGCTGAGGGACCGGATCGGGTACCTGTCGCAGACTCGAGGGCCGGAAAATCGATAGGAGGATATAAATGAAAAAAATATATATATAAATAAATAAACTTAAAAAATCATTATGAACACAAAAAAATTTAAATAAAGAAAAAATTAAGAGAAAGTAAGGTCGATGAATACATACATATTCTTTATTTTTCAATGCAATATGTTGCTAATTATGACATTACAAAACAATTGTGACCCTGCCAACTCACCAGGTATAAATCAAAGCGCATATGAACTTGGCATATGCAGACTGACACGGGGCAGCAGACTAATGAGAATGATAGATCTGACGATGACAATATGCAAGAGTTATGACACAGATGATCGTTACAGACATGAAACAGGGAGCTACAAAAAGACGCGTCGGTGCGCCATCTTCTTTTTTTTTTTTTTTTACGCGCTTATTTTTTTGCGTTTGTAGCACCGGTATAGAGGGCCGGACGTATCTACGCGGGCCGGATCTGTCCCGCGATCCGGGGTTTGGAGACCCATGCCTTAGACGTTCCGTTGAGGCCTCCGGAGCGTAAGATGTAGGGTTCGAACTCCTGGCGGTTTCTTCCCCACAGAATGTTTGGGACGTCGCTCGTAACCGAGCTAAAACCACGATAAGTCCTTTTTCCAGACTGGTCAGAGCATTTTGAGGCTGGAGGCATAAGTTTTCGCATGCAGCGCAGTCGTTTTACCCGGCGTCAAAATGATAGGGGTTGTGCGAATGATGTTTTCCTATCGAGTAGCGCTAAAGTCAGGGATGACGCAGCACTACTCGACCATAAGCGATATTCGGGCACACCTAGAAATTAAGCGTTGGAAATGGCGCCTGATGCAGAACGGAGTGATCCGTCGATGTGAATAGAGTGCCCTGATGGGTACTAATCATAGCGCACATTTATCGCGGCTATGAACTGCAATTGGGGTTACGCGCGTTGCTTCGCGTTTATAAGATTACATAATGTAACCTTCCAGAACTACCCTGTGCAACGAAAGCGCAACAAAGCTCCAAACCTGCAATTCGAAAAAAAGTGCTCATACACTCCAAGTTGAATGACAGTTATTCGGCCGATTATAACTAGGAGACCGAAGAGCAACTTCCTCCCGCCGATTCTACAGGCCGCTTACAACTGGGAGAAGTTCACCACTTCCTGCATACTGCATGTCATCTAAACTCCCTTCCGCTTTATTGCCTTTCAAATTCATTGTTTTTGTTTTGCTGTAATGTAGTTTTATTGCCAATAATATTGTTAAATGAATCACGGCAAAATTTCGTTTTTATCTTTTATTTTTTATCCAGCTAACGCTTCTGTTCCCAAACTTATTGTACTTCAAGAATGGAAAAAATAAAAGCAGCTGTAACTAACCATGTTGGCAACTGGTATAAGCTATTTATCTGGTAATGCTCAATTTGAAGTACTACAACCAAGTTTTTGTTACATTTATTACGGAGTTTTATAATATGGGAACCCAACGGTTATGGGCCCCCTATATAAAACTCCAAGCAAGCTGCCTCAAGGCAGCTTGCCTTGAGACAGCTTCAATGAAAGCCAATCGGAGCTCTGCGTCCTGACGTCCCCACAACCCCTGCAAAAGAACCAGACGAAGCAACTCGCGCTTCGCATACGATTCGAACCACCGATTCAAGATATATTTTCGTTTCTGTCGTTTTACTTTTCGCAAATGGCTTTTTTTACCTCTCCCTCGTAGCTCGCTCTTTGTTCATCTTTTCGCGATTTAGTGCGAATTTGCCTCGATTAAGGGGTCTGTAATGCAGAGAAAGATGATGCACAACTGTCTTGTGAAGAGTGGTGATGTTTTCGAAAATGATCCTTAACACACTGTCCAGTCCGTCCGACGCATTGGTCTGACGTAGCGTCTGCCATGTCAGTAGGATTCAGTACATCACACACGCTGTACAAGGCACGAAGAACGGTAATGCTTGCGGTTTTTGGCAAGTGGCTATAGTTCACCGTAAACTAAGATCAAGTTTTTTTTTGTTTTTTTTTAGCTGTGCATGGGCGCTGACATAACCGACCTTCAGTTTTTTTTCATTTTTTTTTCATCGTATTTCGTTTGTTTCAAGGCCCGTTCAGACACTTGCAACCGAGTACGACCGAGAGAAACGAGACCTGTTGAAACCTCTTAAGATGTCTTAGGGGGAGAGAACACGCTGGCATCATGATCCTGGAGGCTCGACAATACCCACTTCAGTTGCTCGGCATCTCGGTAAGACAAGAGAAGGTCGGCAATGGCGCCTCAATCTGGCGTGTGTTTAAAGCGTCTATAGGTGCCCTATGTGTTGTTTTTTCTGCGTCTTCATTCTCGTGCGAGATCGAGGCCACTAGGATTCGCGTGGCTCTGTCATGTAAACAATTACTGCGTTCATTCGGGTTGAAGACCGGCCAAGATCAGAAGACGATCTAGAAAACGGGGCGAGATCATCGCTCATTCTTTGTGATTTGGTAAGGCGAAGCAAAGCCTTCTGCACCATTCATTACCGATCAACGTGCCTAATAATGCAATTACTTTTTTTTTCTTTCTTGAAGCGAGCGATGTAGGGCGCCGCCATATTTGTTTGTCTTAGCTCGAGCTCAGCGCTAGGGTGAACGCTAAACCAAACATGGTTTTGGTTCAATGTATGGGTAGTGGCAAGCCCCTCTTTTTTTAGGGGTACCCTAACGTTAGGGTCTTCTACTCTAAAACTCCATAGAATAAATCAATTTCTTTATACTTACGCGACAATTTCAATATTTTGAAGCGGTATTTCATACCAAACAGCAAACCATTACCAGTCACCGTTATCAATATCTGCCAAAATAGAATCGTAAAAAATATTACAACGTATCATGGCGAAGAAGCCTAACCGGTTTTGTCAACAGATAGCTCTCAATTTTCGAGACTTAGCTTTGAATGATCAACAGGAAAAAAAAAGTATAATCCCCAGTAGAATGTTCATTTTCACCTTTCAGTGTTCAAGACTAAAGAAAGTAATATGAGACATTTGAACAATAGAACAATCAAAAGCGTGAAGCATAGTAGTGAAAAAAAACATTATTCTAAATATCTTCAGCAAATGTTTTCCTTAGCTAAAAAATAAACAAAGAAACTGTTTTTTTATACATATATAATTGCGGGCGTACCAAAGTACGAAGCTTTATATCTGAACCCGAGGAATATGCAAATTATGTGCACAGGAAAAGTAGAAAAACGTCATTTCGATCTGCTTTGTCTACATGTATGATATGAAAATGCCACTTGATGGTTACTTTTCTTTCTATTTCATGTTTAGCCCAGAGACCCGCGTTGTCTGCTCGCACATATCCGTCGTCATCACCTTTTTGGGCTTTGATTCTATTTTTGTAACACTCGATAGTTTTCTGAAAGTTGACTTTCGATAGTATCAATAGTCAACCAAGAACCAGCTATCGACAGTAGACTATCGATAGTGTTATCAATTGTGGACTATCGACTGTACTATCGGTAGTGGACTGCCCACAGTACTAGTGACAGTCCACTAGCGATAGTTTTCGACACTATCGATAGCTTTAGAAAAAAAAAAAACTCTCGATAATCAATTTTTCGATAGCTCTGCATCACTACCTCAGATGTCTGTGTTGGGTCTTAATCAAGCCTGCATTCAGAAGATTTGATTAACGAACCATTTCGACTGAAACTATTTCATTTTTCTGTTCCTCAAACGAAGCAGTCATGCTCCCAGCTTCTTGGACATTCTCGACGGAAACCCGTAAAACACTTACGTCGCCATTTCGAATTCAAACGTTTTTTCGTCGCCTGCAGCCAGCTCTGCGCACTAGAAGCCTAGTCTTAAAAGTTTAAGTCCACAATATGACAAGTTTTTATCAATATAGCAGCAATAATTGAACCTACCTCTTTCTCTAAACCGTCGCTCCTCGCGGCGACGAGTGAAGCGCCAAGGCCAGGTGGCGCAAGACGTCACCCGATTCATACGGTTCAGTCATATCCGCCCATTCATCCAGCACACTGCACATCCGCACGTGGATGAATGGACACATCAAAAAGTTGTATCTTAAGTAGGGGTGTCGCGAACTTTTGTCGAACCAGATTTTTTGGTCGAACTTTCGGGGTTCGACTGGGTCGAACCGGTTCGACGAACCTTCGAACTTTTCACCAGATTCGACCGGTTCGACTTTGTGGACAGTGTGGCCAGCCCTTAATACAAGCATGTCTAGGTTTGGAGAATTTTTTTTATGCAAAG